AACATTATCCTTAGTGATAGAATGAGAATCAAAGATGCTGTCATAGAACTATATGCAACTAAGGCAATGTTGCTTTGTACAGGGATTTATGAATGGGAAAGAAAAAAAAAAAAGATAAACCTATTACCATCACAAGATCAATTTTGGTTGAATAAGCAAGAGAGAGGCAGAGGATAAAAGGAAAGTAGCTCAAAACAAAAACAAGAAAGCTACAAATGTGAAATAGGGTTACCAATGTAAGGTTTTATTTAGGTTTGGGTTTTAAGGAAATAGGAAATATTTGAAATAACTCACAATTACAAAAGGACAAAATCTAGGCAAATTGTAAAAACTATGTAGAAATGAGCATTTTTTCAAGGAAAACAAAGTTTTAAAGCTTGAAAATTTAAACAATGATTTTAGCTACAAAGTTAAAAAGATCAAAGGCAAGGGAGAGTGAGATGAGATAAGCTTCAGGTGAGGTAAAGACTGAAAGGCAAGGTAAGGACTGTGGGAACAAAATTTTCACTATTTTTGTTTTAATAAGTTTATATTTTTTTAAAAGGTTTTCATGTCCCAAAATGTGGGAGCCTAAGGTAAGGACGGTGGCTTATTGAAGACATTTTTTGTCAGAAAATGCCTTGAATAATCTTTAGAAAATCTTGGCATATGGTTATTCAAGGCGTTTGTGGTCAAAATCGCTTTCAATAATCCCCTTCAATTTTTATGAGATGATCATTGAAGGTGTTTTCTACCAAAAACACTTTTAATAATTTTTCATTTTTTATGATAGGATTATTCAAGGCATTTTAGCCTATAAAATGTCTTTAATAATCCCTTACAAAAAATTGAATGGGGTTATTGAAGACATTTTAGGTCAAAAATATCTTGAATAATCACCCTTTAAATTTTTATGAAGGGATTATTCAAGGTATTTTTGGTAAAAAATGCCTTCAATAATCTCTACCCATTTTTTTTAGGATTATTCAATGCATTTTTACCTCAAAATGCCTTAAATAATCCCTTACAAAAAATTAAATCGGGTTATTAAAGACGTTTCTGACAGAAACACCTTGAATAATCTCCTTAAATTTTTATGAGTGGATTATTGAAGATGGTTTTTATCAAAAACACTTTGAATAATCCCCTTCAATTTTTTAGATGGGATAATTGAATGTGTTTTTGGCGAAAAACACTTTCAATAATCCCCTTTTTTTTTTTTGGATTATTAACGCCTTGAATAATCCTTCAAAAAAAATTGAATGAGATTAGTTAAGGTATTTAAGGCAAAAAATACCTTGAATAATTTCTTTTAATTTTTATGAGGGGATTATTGAAAGCGTTTTTAGTCAAAAAATATCTTGAATAATCCCTTACAAAATATTGAATGAGGTTATTGAAGCTATTTCTAGCTAAAAACGCTTTGAATAATCCATGAATTATTCATTTAGAGTGGATTATTCAAGGTGTTTTCTGTCAAAAATACCTTCAATAATCTCAGCGTTTTTTTTAAAGATTATTCAAGGCGTTTTTACTCAAAAAACACCTTGAATATTCTCTTACAAAAAATTGAAGGTATTTTTTTTTGTAAAACGCCTTGTGATCATTTTTAAAATTCATTCCCCTTTATTGAACTTTGGAATTCCAAAACTGCTAATATTGTGAACAATAAATATTATTTTATAAAAAAATTTTACAAATAACATAGAAAAATATTTATATGAATATAAATACTACTATGTAGATTATTTATAATTTGACTTTCGATCTAGAATGATTTTAAAATTTTACAAAACCATATTAAAACTGAAATATTAATTGGAACCAAATTAATATAACATTTAAATTTAAAAAATTTTAGTCTAATATTTAATTATAAATTTATTAATTAATATAATACTTACATATTTTATTTAAACCTTATTATCATTTAAAATTAATTAAGCTACAAGTTTTATTTGTTAATAATTATAGTTTTTATATTTTTTTTAAGCTTATACTGACGGTTATTATAACCGTCAGTATATAACATATTTATACTTACGAATATTTATATATTGTCAAAAAAAGTTTATGTATACCGACGGTTATATAAAGTGGTTGTATAGGCACTATCTAACTGACAGTAACAAAAATTCGTCAATATAAATACTTTTTACTTACATAATTTATCTATCAGCATAAATAAGTATCAATATATAGTATATTTATACTGACAGATAGTTATATACTGTCAAAAATAGTTTATCTATACCGACAGTTGTATAAAGTATTGGTAAAGGTATGATATATTTTGATGATATTAAAAAAACTATCAGTATATATATCTTTTACTGACTAATTTGACCGTCAATATAACCAAACGTCAGTATATGACAAATTTCTTATAGTGTTATCTAAGTAAATCATCAAATGATGAGAATAAAAAATAAAATAATAATCTTGTATTTTATAATATTTTTTATATGTATATGTATATGTTTTTGAAATATTAAAATTATACTTTTAATAATTTTATTTAGCAAATTCTATTATCCTTCTTCGTGGATGTGGGCATTTTATCAAATTACATAAATTATGTGTTGTTTATGTTATTTTACTTTTAAACACATAAATTATATGTAGGCATTTTCTTGTTAAACCAAAAGAATAAAGCAAAAGATTGTCTCCACTCTCCAATTTAAATCATCAATTTGTTCTGCTCACAGATTAAACTTCCTCTTAATAGAGATGCCTTAAAGTTGTGTTTTGGTTTCAGTGGAGCAATATTTATTAGCCTAATTATTTCTGATAGGCCCCATGTGAAAAGAATGGCGATTCCATATCTCAATTAAAGTGGGGAAAAAGATTCCGTTCTTCGACAAGCCATTAGATTATATACTACGGTCTCTGCTGACTTTTTATTGGTTTGTAAGTATAACGAAGTCGAAAATATATTATAAGTGTTAAATTTAAAATTATTAAAAATTATTTTTAAAAAATAATTGTATAAATTAATTTGATTAAACTTTAAACTCAATTGCTTTTAATTATTGGAGGAATTGTTAAACAGAAAGCTCTTTAACAAGATCAAAATTATAATGGACTACTTTAGTGCTTTAGAATTTATAAATGGTATAATAAAGAGGGAAACGAAAGTGCGTTTATATTCTACCATATCTCATCTCCATTGCTTTTTCCTATCCTTGTTGTTTATAATGTTCTGCCTGTTCCTTTTTGGATGGGGCTCAAACCAGTAGACTGGACATTTATTTTATCAGAAAGACAAGTGCTCAAATCATGGACCTTCATTAATTGTATTCAATGGCTACCCTTGTTTTCAAGGTTGAGGATTAGGTCGGAGCAATTGCAAATTTGTTAATTGTAATTCTCAAATTTGTAGTTCATGCACTCCGACATCACGAAGGCAAGCCTTCAATTACTTACGAGATGTATCACAGTAGTCAAGAAAATTATGGTTAGAGTAAGCATAAGCTTTGTTATTGCCAAACTATCCTGTCATAGCAAAGAAAATATGGGCATTCAAGGTTTTTTTTTTTTTTTTCATATTAAATTTCTGTCATCTTTCTGGTGAATGTGGATATATAAATTGAAATATACATCTTTTTCTTTGCCTGTGATTTTTTAGTTTTTTAATTTTGATTTCTTGTTCTACAATTAACACTTTGGCAGATGTTAACATTTTGTGCACATGTGATGCCCCAATTAAACTAATCCAGGGTTAGTGGAGGTCTCCTAGAACAAATGCCTAGAGACGGGTATAGGGTTTTTGAGAGTATCCACTTATAATTTATAAAAAATTATAAATAAAAATTTGAAATAATATATTGCAATATTATTACAATTGTCCATGATTAGTTCTTATATTTTAAAAAAACATAATTGCATCATTTTTAATACTATCAAATAAATCTTTTTCAATTTACAAAATTAAACAATCATTCAACAAAGAATAAAAATTTTGAGGGTGTTCAAAAAATTTTCCGAGATTCAGAAAAATAAACTTTCAAATTTTCTTTTTTTTTTTTAATTTTGAAAGTATCCATAAATATCCCATGTTAACACTTGCATCCGCCCTCATTTCAACCCGTGCCAGAACAACCATTTAAGAACCAGGATCGTTGGTTAAGTATCAAGTATGCGAGATTGGATGATACAAACAGGGCCAACCCTCCCATATTTTCAGACCAACTCAATTTGAATATTATAAGCAGAGATTCCATGTCTCTTTAACTGGTAATCTGGAATATATAGTAGCATAATCACCATACCATTAACGCGGAAGACCGCTGTCTGTGCACATGAATCATATAGACATTTTATCTGTTGCAGAACTAAATAGAATTGCTCAGATTAAGTCGATCTATCAGCCAAACGAATGAATAATTTTCCTTGTTCATGAGTGTCTGTTGCCATCGATCTACTTTATCATAAAACTGCGTTACATTCAAAGGGAGAATGGATCAGTGGTCATTTTCTTTCACACTAAGAAATAACAATGTACTTGGCTCATCTCATCATGTACAAACTTGCTTGAAAGTTGTGGCATTGTTTTTTATCAAGCAATTGTAATTGTGCAGAATGTTAACTATTTTTTTTTTCTCAATCTTCTTGGCAGGCTAACCTAGATAGGAAGCCAAGGCCTAAATAAAATTGGGGAAGGAGAATTTACAAGTGCTAAGATCAAACCTCAGTCTTGTTGAAAGTCATCTTCTAAAAAAAAGATGAACCATTTGGACCAAACCTCAAGATCAGAACTTTAAAATACATATATGAAGTCATCATCCAACTGCAGCGTGAGCAATAGTTAAGAAAACAAGGCATCTAAATTATAGGGAAAAGCAAAGCAAAGCACATGATGCTTCCTTCCATGATTCCATCCATCTCTCCCTATATCTTTCTCCCCATTCGACTCTTTAAAGGGAGCACTTATTAGCTAGCGGCTTATTGCTCAGTATAATATATTCCAATACCACACTTCACAACTAACCTCTTCTTCCTTAATTATTCTCACACGAGCATCTCTAATTTCACTCTCTAATTCTCTGTATAGCCAGAAAATGAAGCTAAACCACTCTTCCATCACTCTCCCCTTCATCTATTTGATCTTTCTTTCTTCCCTGGTCTCATCTCAGGCCTGCCAGAGAACCTGCGGCAATCTGCCTATTAAGTACCCATTTGGAACTGGCGCTGGCTGCGGTGATCCACGCTTTCAGCAATATGTAACTTGTGACCAGCAAAAACTCACCTTGACAACGCACACTGGCAACTACCCCATAACCAACATAGATTACAGCAACCAAATCATATACATCTCAGATCCTTCCATGTCAACTTGCGCTTGCTGTCGGCCAAGCAAAGGCTTTGGCCTCGACTGGGATGCTCCCTTTTCTTTCACAGACGATAATGTCTTCACTCTCCTTGACTGCTCAACCACTTCATCACCTATTTTTAGATCAAACAGCTATAATGTTGATAACAGCAGTGCTGTTCCCCTATGTGACAAACAAGGTGATCCAATTTGTAGTTACTTGTATTCTTGCAGTGCAATTAGCATACTCAATCTCCCAATATCCACATGTTGTGTTTATACGCCTGTGGATCTCGGCCCATCTTTCGAATTTAATTTGCAGAAGTTGCAGTGCTCTTCATATTCGGTTTTCTATAGCTTCAGTGGCCAGGAATCTAACCCTGATAACTGGAAGTACGGAATATCTCTCAAGTATAAGTTTAATGTATATAATGACTATCCAAACGCGTGCGCAGATTGTGAGAAAAGCAATGGGGTCTGTGGTTACACTGGAAGTTACAATTCATTTATTTGCAACTGTCCTACTGGCATAAGCACCACATCTACTTGTTTCTTTGTATCATCGTTTGGTAATGGTTGGAGGCTACTCCCACTAAAGACAGGTATTAATCATATCTACATTTTCTTTTTACTTTATACAAAACCAATCGCCCACATTTTTGGTTTGGGTATCTAAAACGGTAGTTATTTTCTTGCTGTTGCAGGAACTTTGCTGATCTATCCTCTGCCATGGATTCTGGCCATGTTCCTGCTATAGGCAACAATTATTGAAGGACAAAATTCCAACTACCAAATTGAATTAAAATGCTGAAGTTTGACTTTGCTTTGTTGTTTCTAGGACTTTTGCAATGCGAGAGCACAAAAAGTTAAAACTTCTACGCACTTTGGATAAGAAAAAAAATGCTTTATTAATTTTGTGGTTTATCAGCAGATGGAAGAATCGGGTAAAAGACAGTACTTTCGTTTCTTTAATTACCTTTACGTCTAGTCGGTGGAAATAAACACTTTATTACCTTGGGGATGAAGTTATTACATGCGTTTAATTAGGCCAAAAGATTTTGTATCGTAGGGAGTACATAAAGTGATTCAAGATAGTGGTCCATCCATCAAAGCAAGCTAAAATTAGGAAAATCTACGTGCAGTCGTTTTTTTCTCTTTATAACCAAAAAATTATTTTTTTTTTACAAAATTATCGATAAAATAATTTACACCTGCGGTAATTACTTTTGAATCATTCAACCACACACTTAATTTTTCTTCTATCAACACGAATTCAAACCTAAATCAGATATTGATTCTCTTAAGTTAGTGGACACCAACAATGAAGGTGGAATGCGAATACAAAACATTTCACGATGAATACTGCAGATAAAATGATTAAGCAATCATTCTAAGTTGTGATATTAGGCGGAATTTCAGAAAAAAATATATATATATATACATGCCGAATATGTAGATATTTAGGTAATTTACAGAAATGAAATTTCATAAAAAATACACTTCTTTAGGTGTGTATTTTTTTTACATACAAAAATGCATATCCAAAAGAATTTAATTTTTTTGAAAATATATATTAAAAAAAATTTTAATTTATCGGATTTGTATGTCTGAAAAGTTTTAACCTTTTCAAAAAAGTTTAAAACATTTCAGACATGCTTTTATGAAGAAAATTAAAAATATAAATATTGATATTATTCAGTTGGTTGTCTTGAGTAATTCTTTTAAGTGTATTTGAAATTTGATTGTATTTAATATTTTGTTGTAAAGAGAAAATTTTGATTGCAAATAGAATTTCCCCTAAAATTGTACAGTAGTAGAGCATCGGCTTATCCTAAAATAAGAACCAGGTTAAATGCAAAATATTTCAGTGCCTAGAGGTGTTGAAGGCATTAAGAACAAAAGCATGGAATAAGATTCCTGCTTTTGAGCACTACATCCAGTAGCAGAGAATCGCCTTTACCGTAAGGAGACCTTTGGTTTATAGAATCTTAAATTTAAAGAGAATGTGATATTCAAAAAAGTGTGATACCTAGAGTTTTATTTGATTTTTAAAGTATTTATATTTAGATTCACTCGTATGGTTGAAAGGAATTCACATTTATTAATTATTATATAATTATTATAATTTTCTTGAAAAGTTTGAGGCAACTTTTTATATTGTTTTATTAATAATAAATACTTAAACAACAAATAATACCTTTAGCAACACAAGAAAATAAACATTTGAATTGACTATTGTTTTAATTTATAAAACATCATCAATTAAGGTGTTTGATCTATACGATCACCTTAATTATTAGTTTTATAATTTATATAACATCATCAAATAAGGCATTTGTTAATATGAATGCCTTAATTGATAATTTTATATTATTTAAAACATCATCAATTAAGGTATTTGTTGCTTTAAACGCCTTAATTGATACATTGCATAATATGTTGAATACATCATCAATTAAGGCATTTGTTTAGGTGAATGCCTTAATTGATTTTATTATTTATTTATAAAGCATGATCAATTAAGGCATTTGTGTTTATGAATGATAAATGCTGAAATGTGTGTATTTGCCTAACCATAAACCTATTCATTTGGCATTTTGGTCTCTTTATCTCCCTTGTCGCCATAGATCGTGAACCACTCAACATTGTCGTACATTGTTTTAAGTTGGTAAGTGTGAATTTCTACCTTTTTGTACAATATTTATTCATCTATATATGTCATTTTTTTTCTTCCTTACTATATATATTTATATATTTATTTGCATTTACCATAGATTGGATGAATGATATTTTTTTTATTGTTTGGTTGGAATATTGTAGTCTACCGATTAGTTTTATAGAAAATAGTTATTATATTTTTTCTCATTTGTTTTGCATAGAACTCTTATGATATGATAAAACATAGTATGGTTTCTACCCTATATAATATTATTGGTTTTGTTCTATGTAATGTATATTGGTGTATTTACTATATTGAATATTGGTTATTTTTATTGTATGGATATTTTCAGATATAGTTTGGTGTATTTCATATAATTTTGATTAAAATTGCTTGTATTATTGCTTCTGAATAACATATATCTCCTTTTACTAAAATTGAAAAAAACACACCTATCTTGAAATAGAAAAAATTAAGAGACGTGGTAAATCACTTAAAGCGAGTGGGACAAAAATTTATGTGGAATTCAATTAAGATGTACAACTTATGTTAAGTGAAGGTACAAAGTTGGTAGCCACAATGAAGCTGTTGTCCGATAAAGTATATTTATTTCCTACCCTAGTTGGCGAATGGTTTCTGGTGATAAAAAGACAATATATAGGATTCAGTTGTGATATATTTATACAACATTCTAAATTTTTATTAATTGTTAATGGAATTGAATTACTATGAGTTTTAATTATTCATTTTTATAAGAACTGTTTGACGTCCCAACCAAGTATAAAAAACTTGTGTTGCAATCTATTGGGAAAGCATTCATAAACTTTAAGAGCAAATTGACAACCCAGTATATTTTTTAGTTTTCGTTGATAATTTGGAATTGTTAGTTGATCTTACAATGACATATGTAGATGTTATCAATTATGAAGAATAGTCGTAGTTTGTTTAAGATCATCTATCAGATGAATTCTTAGTATGCATAGTAATTTGTTAATTGTTTATAATATTTGTTTAATATATTTTTATGTTAATATGTAATTTATCTTATTTTTTTCAGAAAATCAAAGAACAACTAAAAAACATACGGACCCAACAATTATATCACCATCGACCATCGAGAAAGGGTTATGCAAATGTCAAACATGATCTTATACATATTCAAATGCTTTTATTATACTCATATATGAATGTTTATGAAATGTAAATGGGAATGTGAAACTTATTATGATTCATGATTTCCGAAATCATCTGACTCTAGAATCGAAGTTTCTAGATGGGATGTTTGGTAAAAAAGATATATGCACAAAGATGGATCATTCGCAGATAAAACAACTAAAGAAATGGTTAAAAAAAGTGTAAGTTGATTTTGTTTTTATATCACATATGATGAATGTGATTTTATGCATGATTAAATATTGTATTTGGTTAGTTATGCACCATTATATTGTGTTTCAGGATGAATTTGCTACACTATATGAATCTGATGACCTGTGAACCGGTTATGGCAAAGATCCATTATCGTTAGCTTTAGGATCCAAAAAAAGACATGATTGAGTTTAAAGGGTTGGTAAATTTGTGTCGTCATTATAGTTCTTCAAGAATCAATAGAAACCCCACGCAATGAAAAATGCAAAATATGAAGCAATCATTCAGTAGTAACAGCAAATACTTGATGAGCAAGAGCAACGCTTAATGATCAACAGCAATGACTCACAGCATTGGAGGTAATGTTGGTAGCAATGTAACCTAACATGCCTTGAGGACAGTTTATTACTGACATCTAAAGGGAAATGTATTTGCAAATCAAGTCTTATAGCAAACCCAATATTCGATAATCATTATTATTTTAATTTTGTTTATTGATTGAATATTTATTTGTATTTTTTATTTTTTCAATGAGTTTTAGGATTTGTATTTCATCCTTTTTGGTAACAAGATGTTTAGACTCAAACAATGATACTTGCATAGTCTACCATTAATGCGTTAATCATCTATGTGCATGTTCGTTTATCAGGAAGAGACACATTGTCATTAAGGGAGAGTATAAATTATTTGATTATCCATTGATGTCTTACATTGAACGCTTAGGATTGAGGCATTTTGTACCATGGATGAGATATCGACTTTTGATATTATTGTGTATATAAGATTAGCTTATCATTTAATTTAAATTATATTCTTTCAATTTATTATCCTATATTATATAATATTACTAAATGATACTGTTGGTTGTCATCATGTAGCTCTTATGCAGATGGATTAAAGAAAGACAATTTACCTATAGATTTAGATTCATTGACTCAAATTTAATTAGTAATTTAATTGGCACTATCACTACTCATGCTTGTCATATGGCTCAATGCAAGCAAAAATCGTCTAAATATTATCTAGTGCCTTATAATTCCTCGTAAGTTCTATTGTAATAATAATTATATCATTTATGATATCTAATACATTATGTATAAATGTATGTCAAATTTATGTTTTTCATGTTATACATTATAAATTAATATCATGCCTATTATTTTGCATAGGTCATTGGCAACTTGTTGTAATTAAGATTAATATGTAGACTCTTTACTTATTGAACTTCGAATAACCAACGTTGATACCTATACCGGATCCTGCCAATTTAATAATGAGATATTACATTTTATGAATAAGTGATAATTAGATTAAATTGTGTTTTGTATAATTACTATGGTTTTTGTGTTCAATTTAGGGAAAATGGTTGCAGTTTGTAAAAATAGAAAGTTCATTCGGGTGACATTACCGGTAAGTATAACAATATTATTTTATAGTAAGTTTGTTTAAATAAATATTTACCAACCCACTCAATTTTATTTTCAAGTTCTTCATTAACAAGGAGTTACCGAATGTGGGTATTATATCCTTCATTTTATAAGGAATATTGTTATGAATGATCTTATAAGCACACCATTTAAGGTTAGTATAAACACCATATAATAAGTTTTATCTTTCAATTAAACTTATATAATATTGTTCTAGTTTATTAATATTGACTCCTTATTTTTTGTTAATAGTGGGTGACAAAGGGAAGCTTCACACAAGAAGAAATTGATAAAGTCCATAAAAAATAGTGTGATTACGTATCCACTTTTGCACAAGTTGGACAACCAAATTGGCTATAAATATATACAAACATTTTAAATTTTTTGGTATAGGCACTATGATTGTGTGTTTGTTAATTTTTGTAAGTTTATATTTGTTTAAATTAAAACCAATATCCAATTGTTTCATTTAAACAATATGACAACCAATTTCTTGCAGCATTCACATTCTACAAGTGGAATGTGATCACTTTGGGGCAAATTGTTGATCCTAATGTTAAATTGAAGATCAAATCATTTCACGACACTTGCACTCTAGAAAACATTTATATTAATACAAATATGAAATTAGCAAATCCAAATTTTTATATCTCTCACACAAATATGATTTTTGTTCTAAAAATACAAATATGAAAATAGTCAAAACAAGTATTTATATCATTCACACAAGTACAATTTTTTATCTAACAACATAAATGTGAAATTAGTCTTATATACAATATTAAATATTAAATTTCAATCTAAATAAATGAATTTATGACCTATCACTCTATTTGCATTAAAAGAACTATTCCTGCCTTAATTAAATAAATATGTTTAAAAAATAATATATGAATCTTTATACAAAATGTAGTGCATTTTACATGTGTCTAGAATGAGGAAAGTCAAATGATAGATGATATACATTACATTCGTTTTATTATTTTTTAATGTAATCTTTTCTAAATACAAGTGGCAAAGCAAAAAAAAAAAAATGCAACTTTGTGATTTCCTTTCAACATATACTCACCAACAATAATCATTTCATTAGGTGAGAAACTGTCGAGTTACATTATTTCATTGAAAAGTGGCATTCTTCTATCACTACTCTTGACTTCTCTTTTAAAGAAAGTTGAAATGCCTTCCATCACTTTCACAGCCTTTCATATGAAGCTCTAAGTTTGCTTATGTGAGCAACCAATTCAGCAATTGCTCTGTCTTCATTCTTATAACATTTTTTACCTGACAACATCCTAATTAGACCTGATGATTCATGTATTTGTATCGTGTAAAATACTAAAATTCATGTATTTATACCGTGCTTTACACAAAAATTACTTGTCATAATTTGTTACCTAATACTTCCTTCAACGACATACCTTTCTTGTTATGTTTTAGATTGCTAAGTCTAGTCCTAGTGTTGCTCAAAGTAGATGAACCGATTTCTTTTTCTTCGTCTCCTATTTTCATATTTTCTTCAGTATAGATTTCAAACTCTAGAGAGAAGTAAGCATCCTTAGTAGCATCCAATAATTAAATAGCATCGACTTTTGTTTTGACTCTTTGACCAATTACTCTATTAGATCCAAAAATTATTTTAAAATCATTAAAGAAAGGAAAAGGTTTGTTTCTTAACCCTTTAGTATGTAGATGAGTCTACATAAAAAATACGAACAAAAAAAAGAATAGAAAAAAAAACATAAATAAGTAAGGCAAGCCATAGTGTAACATTAAAAAACTTACTTGAACCCACTCATCAAAATCTTTTTTCTCGGCTATAACACATTTTTCTTTATCATTCCACCCAAATCCACTAGTATTTTTCATATCACAAATTGCATGATATTGTCTTTTAAATAGCTTAACCCTAGACTCGATGTGTGGTTTGGCTTTAAGTTGGGAAGTAGAATGAGTTGCTCTAGTATTGATTTAAGATAACCTAGATGTCCAATACGAAATGTCGCATTATCCACTATTCATCAAGGATCATCTACCAATAAATGTAAGCATTGAACTAACTAGGAATCCTCATCTCTTGTCCAAGAATGGTTACCTATCGCTAAACTTTCGATTCTGTCAATTACGTCTACATTGACCTTGATGTATGTCTCATCTAAGGCACCCAAATAACCCTTAAACCAATTTCATCCATTATTTGCTGAATTATCCGATATCAGTTTAGGTTTTTTAAATAATAGCATATGCAATCTTAAAATAAAACTCAACACATAATGAATTTACTCACTAATTGTCTTTCTAGATCTAGCTACTTGACGTTTCATAATCCTATTTTTTGTATGATGGGTTATGATATGGAAGAAGCTAATAATCATTTCTTTTGACATGTGTCTAGATGCCTATCCCCTTTTTGTTTGAAATAAATGATATAATTTTACAAAAATTTTCTATCAATTCTAGTATTATCTACACATGGTTTATAGTTCTCAAAGACCATTGCATTTAAATTTAACTCTATAATATGTAGCCTATCATAAAATGTTCTACTATAAGATAGTTTATGTCATTTTTTAATGTTTATATGTAATAAAATCACAGCTACTAAAACATAACACATGCAATAAAGTCTCCATTTGGTTCAAATGCTTCATAAGCAATGTAACCAATTGCATCGTTGTTCTTAGTGATAAACCAGTTATAACTGTTTAAAAGACACAATCTTGTTAAAGTTAAAAACATAAATGGAAAGTAAGTCATTGCATATGGTACATGAGATCTACCAAACATCAAAAAAGAAAATATAAATTAGCAACAAAACATTTATGGATGAAGTAACTCAAACAAATAAACAATAAACGCATTTGATATATCAACATAGTTTAAATTCAAATATAAATAGCATCTAAAAAGATGGAAAAAAAAAAAGAAAAATATTGGATTGCAACAAATAATACAGATAAGATAATTAGGTATCAGATAGCATACACACCTTTTTTTTGAAAAAAAAAATGAAGATAAACTTAACAGAACAAAAATTAAATGATGAATATTGAAGCTAGAGTTGATTCAAATAGAAAATTATTTGCTTTAAGCTCATATATGTTGAAATAAAAATAAAAAATGTATTAGTTATTGAAACATGATGAAGACATCAATTAAAATGTTTCATACAATGAAATGCCTTATTTGATGTATAAAATATAGATTCTTCTGAAGTTGATTAGACATTACAACGTTCATATCGTTAGAATAAGGTCTTTGAGAGGGAAAATAAAATTTTAATATATGACAATTACAGTGTTTGAAGGAAGAAATGCCTTAATTAATAATCAATTAAGGCGTTTTTCTATGGAACACTAATTAAGACCCAAAACAAAATTTAATATCATATCAATTAAGGTGTTTCAAAGAAGAAACACCTTAATTGTAACATAAATTGCAAATAAAGTAATTTAAAAAAAAAAGTTATAACTGTGTTTCAAAATTACTTTTTTTGAAAAAGTAATGAATATGTGATCAATTTTTTATTCAAGTCAAATTCAAAAATAAGACAACTTCTCCCCTTAGTGAAATCTTAAAAAATCACAGGAAAAGATGAGTTTTTTATTTTGGAACTTTAGATACTATTAAGAATCTGACATTTTTTTCGGTTATCGAATTACCTTAAATCAAATGTGAAAAAATTTATAAATTTCCCTTAACCAAACGCATTCTAAAGGTTTTTTATTTGTATCTATTCCCCTGCCAAGTTCTAGAAAATGATAAAGAAATATGCATTGCCTCTGGTTTTATTCTCTCCTCATTTGAATTTTGATAATTCGCTTTTGGTTAAAATATTAAAAAAGTTTTTAAATTATTTATTTTATTTATATAAATTTTGTATTTTTATTATATTTAAATAAATTTTTATATTTTTATTTATAATTTATATACATTTTTATTTCAAATAAATAATTGATTTATATTAAAATTTTATTTAGATATAAATTAAATATTAAAAATTTATTTGAATATAAATTAAAGTTTAAAAACTTATTTAAATATAAATTAAAAATAAAAATTTTATAAAAATATAATAAAATATAAGAATTTATTTAAATAAAATGATAAAATTCAAAAAAAAATATTATATTAGCCATCGCTTTTACCAAGCTTGTTACCACCGCACGTTGAAGTGTCATATGCCGCTAGCACCAATATAGGTGTGAGAATACGAGTAGGAATTCCAGTATTGCTCTTAGTCGGTGCTTAGCCAGTGTTGAAAGTGCCCGAGTCAGACTATCCAGAAAAAATCGATAAAGCATTCCTAACTAAGGTATATTCGATTGAGTTTTAAATTGATACAACATTAAATTTAAGTTTGAGCTTGATTTAAAATTTAAAATTTGAAATTTCGCTCAAACTAGATTGAGTTTTATTTTTTTAACTTAAACTCGATTTGATAAAAAAATTAAGCTACTCGAACTCGCTCAATTAAACTCGATTAATATGTAAAAATAAGCTCGATTCTTATATTTGATAAAAGTTTGATTATTTGTATTTAAGTTCAAACTCGAGTTCGAAATATTTTATCAATTAAAATATATTAAAATATAAAAACTCGATTAGATTCGTAAGCTACTCGAACCAAATATAAGAATGCTCAAATTTGGCTCGATCGATAAGTCAAACTATTCAAGCTCGAGCTTGACTCGATAATAATCGAGCTGAATTCGAATTTTTTTCGAATCAAACTTGAATAACTTATAAGTACTAATGTATCATTTATAATTTTATTCCTAACTACTTGGTCAAACATGCTAGCGTCCATTGACAAATGAAATTCGATATAGTGATATCCTTGTAAAAAGTTATCATTATCAAATAAAATACGATTTTCATCATTATCGAAAATTAAATGACAATTGATGTATGTGTATCTTGTTTGTTTCATGTCAATCATAAAAATTATATATCACAATTTATAATAACATATCAAATATAAAATATATTTTTGTTTTTACCAAACATATATGATTTTAATCAAAATTTTAAATTGCATCACTTTTATATATTTTTTATATCATATCATTATATTATGTTTAAAATTATCAAGATCTACCAAAATTCTGTCTTCCTGAACTGGAAAAATAAAAAAGAAAAAGAATCATCTTCCTAGAATTAGAATCATGCTAGGATTTGAACCTTAAATAAGCAAATTTTCACATCTTTACTCACTATTCTCCAAGCTAGACTACAAAGAATGTGTTGTTTACATATGCTCCTCATTGATTCTTTTAACATCAGCGGCCATTGAGTATGCCAACACCATTGGAAATGAAATTGGAGAAATGTAGACAAAATGGCCTAAGTAATGAATTAATTTATAAGGGCATGAGGAAAAGCCCCACTATATCTAACTTAAGCATCATATATACAGAGACTTTGACCGCAAAATTTGTTTCACTGTTGTCCTTTCTCGAATTTACCACATTGTACGTGGAGACTTTGTCTATTGATTTCTTTGAATAATGGTCATCTCATGTTGCAGCATTGGGTCTTTCCTTGGTTTAGTAATTTATCCCACATGCATAACATCTGTCTTGGAGATTGATAATGAGCAGTGTAATAATCCTCGATGCATCCGAACTGGCAAAATTTCAAGCTGTGCTGGTACTCCACTGTTTTTGAACTGTTGAATTTTTCCACCCACATTCCCATGCTCACATCTTCCATCTTGAATAGCTGCAACATGTGCTCAATGGTTTTAATAACCAATGATCAAATCCACTACCATTTAAGAACCATGCACACATATGGCAGAGAGAAGCCACGGTCAAGAATATAAATAAATAAATAGATGACTTACTCGCAATTTATGTTTCTCAAACTCAGCTACAATAAACTGTGCAATGTCAGATGAAACTATGTACCCTGGACCATTTGCATAAGGTGGGTAGTCTTCTTCTGGCCATTCCTAAAAATCACCAAAAAAATACAAATTATGATAAGTAGGATATGGACAACATATGATGCCCTACACAGAAGAAAACACAACAATATTTAAGATCAAGATGATAATTACAGATAATCAGTAACGATCAGTTGGCTGAAGGAAGAGATAATAATCATTTTAAATTCTGCAAAACCAAAGGGTACAGATGTTCAGAACTGATGAGGTAATCATGCGAGGAAACTAGAACCTTTGTGGTGAATCATTCTTCACTCAGATGACTACCTAGGTAGTCCTTGAGTAGAGTGAATCTCTTTAGACGGTAAATTGTAGGTAAAGCAAGGACATGTTTAGTGCTATCTACAACTAAATTCAACTGAACTTTAAATTCCAAACAAGTTTATATATTGTTGATCATAAGAAACCATTTTAACTTTACATGCTACTCAATTCAGAGCAAGTTCAAACCTATAAATAAAATATTACTAATTCCAGACAACTCATGCAACCTTCCATGCAGCATCAGTTAAAAATTGGAAACAAATTTCTCAAAAGCCAAACTTGGGAAGAAAATTGCATAATAAATCACAGAATATATATCATTAATTAAAAGCAAGGGGCTCCTTTATTTTGCTACGGAGACAAACCACATTAACTTTCTCATCTGAAAGAGGAAATATTTTATAACAGAATGGAGAATGGAGAATAGATATGGAAAAGCACATAACAATACAAATAATAGTAAAGATACAGTGATATAGATAAGAAAGCAAATGTAAAAGAATAAGTTGTTCAAATCACATCAACTTAAAATTAAAGTGTAGGACTATATGTAAATAAACCCCCAAGATTAGCTAAGTACAGAAAATACATACCTCATATGTTACTGCCCATTTACCATTACGCAGTGGTTTGTGGTAGTAATTCATATTACCAATATACAGGCTTTTATCTCCAAACTTCTTTGCTTCCTTAATCACAGAGTCCACCCTAACAAATGTATCATCATCACATTTCATAATATATTTTGCAGCCACTGTACGGACCTGTGAACAAAGGACACCATATAAAGGCAGGTTTTGGACTCTAGATTTTACAACTAAAGAACAATATGTTGCAATTACCTTATTTTTATATGTACTGTATCTGTTAAAAAACTTAATTTTACAAAAGAGAAAAAGTAGGCAATGTCAGATCATTTGATCACTCACCCCATATTCACAAATGGCAACAGTCTTCAGTACAACTAGCTCATAGTTATCCATGTAAGGAACTATAACAATATCACCAAAATACTCCGCTTCCTTTTTCAGCTCCACATTAACGTCCTTTCTTCCATTCTAAAAAACAAATAAAAAAACATGTAAATATATCAGGCAAGGGGGATTTCGAGAGGAGAGAAATTCTTCCTGCTTTATCTACCCATACCAGTGCTACGAAAAAACGAGTAACTACTTTTGAAGACTTTATTAACTTATGCTGCATCCAAGACTTTCTGACAGCCATCCTCTCAGTAAAATGATTGCCAGCAGAAAGGATGCCTATAAAAAAGTCAACATTTCCATCAGGAAGTGGTGGTGCCGTCCATTTACTCAACCTCTCAAGATGCTTTTGTGGAGCAAAACTAGGATGTGAAGTGGGCAAGGAAGCAGCAAACACAGAGTGCACATCAAGGTCACCCTTTAGAGATAGCCCAGTAGCATCCTCAAGCACAAATCCCTGTAAATGTCATCAGAAAAAAAAAATTTAAAACGTTCTACATTCATCAAACCATTAAGTCAAGAACAAGATGTTGCTCACAGTTCCATAAGGAAATGAGGTAACATGACGCCCATCAATATTGACATGGTAACCCTCCAATCCTGCCCTCAATATGAGAACAAATAACTTTCCCTCCGCAAAAGGGTACGACCAATCTAGTGCCACCTCCTTCTTTCTTCCTATCAACCTGCTCAACCACCATGTAGCCTTTGATTCTTCAGAGCCATTATCATCATCTCGAATCCATTTCTCACATTTAACTTGTCCATCAACTACCCAAAGAAAGATCCAAACAATCAGCAAAGATGTAAAATGCCCCATATAAGTAACTTTTGAAACACCCCGTCCCAACAAGATCATAAAGCAACACCATAACTAACTACAACTAACAACCGACAATTATTAACAAACTCAACGTTCAAACTTTTCTCAACCTACATTCTCATTTACTTACTCAGCCTTCAGTCAAATGCACTAAATATATATATATATATATATATATATATATATATATAACCTACCATTCAAAAATAAATAAATAAATGAAACCTGTTTCCTCATAAGCTCTTGACTTCCACCCTTCGCATCTCAACGCCGATCCCCACTGCATTCGATAACAAGTATTCTGCTCGATCACGGGCTTCCCGCTCCAATCCCCTTTCAATCTCGGATTGAAATGAAGAATCCGCGGTGGATCCTCGCCGTCCACCGTCTTCAACCCTTGCAATTCCATCATAAACTGCGTTACCATCACTGACTCGTCCCTTTCCTTTAAGACCGCAATTTTCGGGTTATACTCTGCATGCGCCCAATGCGGCATCCCCACCACCGTAATGTGGGACCCTAATGTTAACCCGCAGGGCAGGATCAAGATCCGGCCCTGGTTCACAAACTCGGACCCGGATAAGGAAATTGAATCCTGGCATGATTTGGTTCGGTTTTTCTTTTGATTTTGTTGTTCAGGTTCTGAATCGGAATTGTTTTGACCCGATTGGAGGTCGTCCCAGAGTTTCTTGCCGACAACGAAGGCGTGTCGTGCGGTTTTGTGGAGCACTGAGAACTCGTCTTTAGAATCGTAGCCGTCGAAAGAGCTTTGGTTGAACAGGAGACCCGATATTTCCTTGAACTCCCGCAATTTCCGCTCCGGTGTCCAACTTCCGGGTTGACGGAGATGATCCGGGTCGTTGGCGGGTCGAGCGGGTGCAGATTTATAGGTGAAACCCTCTTCGCTCACGAGAAACAAAGGCCTCGGCAATGAGTCGGTGAAGAACCCTCCTGAATCGGTTTTCAAAACCAGCGGGATTTCGAAGCTCATGAACAGAAGGTAGAGAAACAAAACCCCTATCAAACTCTGAACTAGCCTGAGTCGACTAGGAGACACTAACGAGTAAAATTTTGCTCGCTTCATCGTCTACTTCAAAAGCAAAAGAAGAAAAATTAAAAGGACTAAAAATAGAAATGAAGAGTAATGGTTTCTCTGGTTTGGTTAATGCTGGTGGACTGAAATAAGGATATGGGGAACCCTAGCCCTAGATTTGATTCGCAGGTAAAACGGTTTGGGTTTTTCAAGTAAGCGGAAAGCATTTAGAGAATGCATAAGCTTTTGAAAGACAAACTCCACTATTTTTCGAGAAAAAACCTTCAAAAAAGAAGTAAAAGATCATATTTTCTTTTTCTTTCCCCCTAAATCCACATTTTCCCTCTTTGAAACTTATTAACTTTCGTTGCTTCTTCCTGCTAAATTTAAATTTAAACTAAAAAAAAAAACATTTAGACACAAAAGAAGAAAGAAATTTCTAAAACTTAAACCCAATTTTTCAAAAACACGTCGTTTAGGGGACAGGAGATACTGCCATGCACGCCACGTTTGGAAACAGCGGTCTAGAGAGGGTGGGATCAGGTCAGGTCAACTTGAATTCTGAGCAATCAGAGAAATACTAATTTTTTTTTATGGAAGGGAAATAGTAATTAAATGCAATAGAATTTGTTTTAGTTGAATAATTATAGCAAAATTTGTTCAAGATTTTGGGTCATAAGTGCAGAAAGTTGAAAGACAGACCGTTGAGAAAAAGAATGATTTGAACAGAGGTGGGGACTTTAGTCAATCGTGTCATTGCTGGTTGGTTCGTTGGTGGAGTTTTTAATCGTTGGAAAATGTCATTTTTTTTCTTTTTTTTTTGAAATTTTAATGTTTTCATCCAGATACAAATTACTGTATGAACAAGTAATAATTAAATAGACGTATTATTTTAATTAATTTTGATAATTTTTGTAATTATATCTTATATTATATTAAAATATATATAAAATAAAAAAATTTATCATATTATATTTATATTTATATATTAAATATAATAATTTTTTATTTTTTAAATTTATATAATTTATTTTTTTGAAAATTTATATTAAAATTTTAAATATGTTATTTTTGTATTTTTAATATTTTAATTTTGTTTAAGATTGTAATATCGTGAAGGAAATATAAAGTTAAAAACATTATAGGTGAAAAAAGAAAGAGTTGGAAGTGTGTGGTTGGCATCTTACAGGAAGAAAACAAAAAGGTGTTTGTGACTGAAAGTGACTGTCATCCTTTGGAATTTTCTTCTTATAAACTAATTATCAACAACTATCGCCGATCGGTTGGTAAGTTGGTATGTCATTAATTTACTTTATTTCTTTTCTTTTTGCCATTTGTTTGTATAAGTTTATCCACGTGGATTTGATGTTTGACGTGAGAAACGTTGTGGACATATGACCAGAACTCCCGTAAAAAAAGCAATAGAGAAATTTTATTTTATATATGTTAAAAATATATTTAAAAAATAATCAAATATTTAAATTGATATTTGAATTTTGAATAAAAAATAATATGATACATGACTTAATAAATTTTAAACCAATTTAATAAATTATATAAAAATATAAATTAATATAATTTAAAATTTTAATAAACATTTATATAAATTTAATAAAATTAAAATATATATTTAAAATTTTCGTATAAATATAAATTTTGATATATAATTTTTATATAAAATATAATACGAATATATAAATTATTAATATATTAACTATCATATCTAAATACATTAATTAAAATTGTTAATTTAGATATATCAGATATTTTCATAGGTAGAAGAAACGTACATGTATAAATAGAAAGTCTGTACTTAATGAGTTGAATTTATAGTCCATAGTTAAAAAATTTTTTACAAGGTGGCATAAATTGCAACGTATACAGTATGTTCATGGCATTATTACAATTTAAAAGCAAAGAATTTCTATTAAAAGAAAATTAAGTGGAGGAACAATGCAGACTTGCAAATGAAAAAATGAGTTTTTTTTCAGAAACAATATGTAATAGAAAAGCGCGTAACTTAATTCTCGACCGTTGGGACGTTGCTCCCAATGAATAGGATGAATAGGACGGTGTGGCAATAGTCGCAAAATCCGAGACACTCACTTAAGCTAGCAGTAACGGTGATAATAATTTGGTTTTGATATTCTAGTTAACGCATAATACATAAGTAATAAGAATTTTTTAAAAAAATTTAAATTTAAATGGAATATTTTAAAACATTAATTTTATTAATTAAGTTTATTAGATTTTAAAAATAAATTTTTTTAATTTTTATATTATTTTAATATAGTTTTTAATATATTTAAATAAATTTAAATAAAAAATAATTATTTTATTTTATAAAAATTGAAAAACGAAAATATAAAATTCATTTCAATTCAAATATTTCTTTTATTTTTTACTCTCTATTCAAAAATCAACCAAACCTAATAAAAATATTTAATATTCAAACCTAAACCAAATTGAATTAAAAAAAATCAAATAAAATACTATAATTTTGATTTTATTTTTATTTTTTTTCAATCCTAGCTAGTATGGTCACTATAAGTGTTGGCTATAGTAGCAAATATTCAAAAATAATAGAAAAGCTCAAAATATTTTAGTGATCTTATAATTTTTTTTTTAATTTTGTTCATATTGATATTAGTATGTAATTTTGCTTTCTTTTCAAAAGTTTTTTGTTAATTCAATGGTATATTAGAAAAGTTAAATGCATCCGACTTATGGTGCATTTGGATACCATTGCAATATTACTGAGATGATGTCTTAAGTATTTTTTTTTTCTTACCATCAACTGCAACTGCAAAGTTTATCATAGCTATGTGTTTATCCATCTAAGTTATGATAAGTAAGTCATATAAATAAGTTTATTTATCAATCATATTTTGAAGTGTTTATCAATCATATTTTTAAGTGACTCCTAACATTAATTGGATGATAACTTTTTATTTAATTACATTATATGTAATTCACCCAATTATTATTATCTCTAAGATTATATGATCAAGTGTGTGAAAACCCAAATCATTTAATTTTAATTAAGATCCAAAGATCATAACAAAAAAACACATTTTGATTAATAAGTCCATGAGTATCCTATTGAATCTAAAAATAAAAAATGTTGTTTTATTTTTTATTTTTTATTTTTGATTACATCAGGAAGATAAAGTCTTAGTATAAATAAATAAAAAAAAATTAATTGAAAACAAAGCTCTTAATGTCCTTTCAAACGCCTTTAACCACTAAACTAAAGATTTGGGGGTAAAATGTTGTTTTATTATATCTTACGAAAGGTAACTTAATCATATTGAAAAATATGTGACTTAATATTTAATGAAGGTTTGTTCATTTAATTCATTTAGGTTTCTTTGCGCATCACTTTTCGTAAGGGTAATTGAATCCCAAAGTTATAACGGGAATAGGGTGCGGTAGAAAAGAAAATTTCCACCTTGACTTGACCTAAACAGGTCCAATGAAAATTTGGAGTTTGGCATGATTGGAATAAGCCAGCCATCCCACATCTATTGAATCCAAATACTCCTGCGAGTGCAATTGGATCCAAAAAGTGATCCAATCACACAACAAGGTGTAACTTGATCCAAATCAGGCCTTAGTGATGGAAAATCATACAACTTCTGATTTTGACACAGTTTCATTTGGACTAGTTTTGGGCACGTGCATTACTCACATATAATTTTTTTTTAATTTAATTCAATAAAAAATATTTTTGGATAATAATAATAATAATAAATGTTAATAGTTTAATTTTAATTTTGGTATATATAAGTAAAATTTGATAATTTTGATTTTGATAACTTTTGATATGTTTTGATAACCTTTGTTAAAAGTTTCATAATTTTTAATAAAATTTTAGTAACATTCGATAAAATTTTGATAACTTTTAATATTAGTTTGGTAATTTATGATATAATTTTTTTAATCATTGATACAAATTTGATAATTTTTAATATAATTTTGGTAACCTCTTGATGTAATTTTGATAGCTTTTAATATAATTTTGTTAATTTTATGATATATTTTTAGTAATCATTAATAAAATTTGTGTCATTATATATCTAACAACTGATTCTTGTAGCACAATGTGAGTTATATTCTAATATAAGATAATTTTCTTGTTATATAAAATATTATTATTTCATTCAAATTTAGAATTTTTTTATTAAATGTTTTTACCTAAAATTCTAGTTTCGTTTTTGTTAATAATCAAAGTTCAATTTTTAGTAATTTCAAATATTAAAAAAAGTTATCAATGAATGATAATTAAATTATCACTAGACTATAACACGTGCGATGCATAAAATAATTTTATTTATTTAATATGAATATATATATACAAATTAGTTTCTTTTCAAAATTATATTTAAATATTTAAAACTCATATATATATTGACTTGTCATTAAAAAATAAACTTTATGAAAATAGTAAGAAAAAATTATATCTTTTCTTTGGATATTTTTGTTTATAATAATATTTATACACTTGTAAGATTATATCAAATAAAAATAAATTATGCCTTTCTTAAAAAACTAAAAATATATATTATTAAATGATAAATTAAATAATAAAAGAAGTATTAACATACTTTTACTTTAGTAATTTTGATTAAATTATTAAGCAAAAGATGAAAAATATTACAAAATATGTGAAAAAAAAAAGAAAAAATAAATTGAAAAAAAATATGATTTTGCCATAAGAATGAAACTGTAATAACAATAAAATATATCTTGAAAAAAAGTTATAAATAAAAAAAAAACAAATTGCAATAGTAATATAATATACTTTGAAAAAAAGCTATTGAAAAAAATAAAAAAAAATTGATATATAATACATTACATTTATAGTTTTAAATTTGTAGAAGAATTCTTTAGTGGCAATTAGGATTAAATAGATAATTTTAAAATTAATTTTTAAAATTTTAAAATGAATATAATAAGTGGTAAAGATAATATTGATTTTTTTTGCATTTATTTGAAATATAAATTTGATAATTTATTTGAACTTTAATTATCAAATTTATATTTCAAATAAATGCAAAAAAAATCAATATTATCTTTATCACTTATTATATTCATTTTAAAATTTTAAAAATTAATTTTAAAATTATCTATTTAATCCTAATTGCCACTAAAGAATTCTTCTACAAATTTAAAACTATAAATGTTATATATCAATTTTTTTTTTTTTTTTTCAAAGTATATTATATTACTATTGCAATTTGTTTTTTTTATTTATAACTTTTTTCAAGATATATTTTATTGTTATTACAGTTTCATTCTTACGACAAAATCATATTTTTTTTCAATTTATTTTTTCTTTTTTTTTTCACATATTTTGTAATATTTTTCATCTTTTGCTTAATAATTTAATCAAAATTACTAAAGTAAAAATATGTTAATACTTTCTTT